ATGGATGAGGCCGCGGGCTTCGCGGGAGTGCTCGAGCTGGGCGCCAGCGAGGGCGTCGAGGGCGTCGAATTGCCTGGCGACGCCGACGAGAAGCCTCCCACCCGACGAGTTCGACGGGGAGGGCGAGATGCTGTTCGCCGAGCTTCCGTGGGCCAGGGCCGGCGTGCTGTCGTGCTGGCCGTCGGCGAGGACTGGGAGTGCGAGGGCCTCGACGACGCGGGCGAGGCGCAGTGTGCGTACCGGGTGCAGGCGCGCGTCGTCTACCAGGCCACCGCGCCCTGGCAGTCCATGACGGGCGCTCCACTGTGGTCGGCGATGCTTGCGTACGGGACGTGAAAACGACCGCAGCCACTGCTTGTCTTTTGTGTTGCCGCCTTCCAGCCAGCAGAAACAGAGCAGTGGTTGTGGTCATTTTCGGTAAGCTTGGCACCAGGGAAATGACCACAGCCACTGCTTCTTTTTCGGCCGGCTGGAAGGCGGCGCAAACAAGAAGCAGTGGCTGTAGTCATTTCCCGTCCCGCATTGCGGGCAGTGGTCTTTTGGCGAGCTTGGCGAGAAGGGCGCTTTTTGGCGTGGCGGCATGTCTGCCCACAGTTGCGCGGGCCTGCGAGCCCGCGGGGCGCACGGCCCTCTTCAGCGACTCCGAGGCGCGCGTGGGGCCCGCCGGGGCCCGCCGGCGCACCCCTGCAAAGTGCGTGAACGATCTGCAGGCGATCTGCAGCAAGTCGAGCAAGGTGCTCCCTCCGCTTGAGCTGCTCCTCCAGGAGAGGCGGCTGCTCGCGGGGGCGGCGGTGGCGCGCGGCCTCCTCGGCAGGCCCCTCTCCCGTTTTTTGTTTTAGTTGTTTTTGGGGTCTCCCATGTTTTCTGACTCCGGCTAGGCTTTGCGTGGCCGGATTCTTCCACACCTTTAATTATTTTCTCGGCCTCCGGCCGAGGGCGTCAAGGCATCATGAAGCCTGTCAGCCACATCATCCTCTTCTTTTTTTGCGGGCTGGACGCGGAGATTGCCGGCCTGGGAGACAGGAGAGGCCAGCCGCCGCGCAGCGGGGCCGGCGTGGAGGAGCTGACGTCTCAAGCGGTGGCGAAGCGTCCTGGCTCGCCAATAGGCCTACCAAAGAATGTTCTAAGGACTTTCGGTGGTTTCCACGAAGTCTTCTTAGAACATATCTGGCTGAGCCTGTCTTGTTCTAACACATCGGGCTTATGTCTAGGAGCGGTGCTCTCTCCTTAGAACACTCTCGGGTTCTAAGAACACGTCGTGGTAGGCCTGTAGGAATGCCGGGGCGCTCGGTCCCTGCTCAACTCGAGGAAACGGCTGTTCGCGGAGGCGGCGGTGGCGCGCGACGTTCCTCGCCAGGCCGCTTTTCCCGTCTGCAGCCACCACGGGCGCCCCGTGCCGCCGGCGGGCTGGACGCGCGGATTGCCGCCCTGGGAGACGGAAGCGGCCGGCCGCCGCGCAGCGGGGCCGGCGTGGAGGACCGGGGAGGAGCTGACGTATTGGCCAGCCGTCACCGAGAAGCGTCTCGGACCGGAAGGAGAAGTGGGCGCCCCGCAGACAGCCACAGGGTGCCAGGAAGAGAGCCCTTTGTCGAGATCCTGCAGGGAGCACGAGGCGAAGCAACGCCGCGCGGGCGCGGGCGATGGACCAGGGCCGTCGAGGCCCGAGAAGCTTGCTGTCGCCCACCAAACGCGCGCTCCCAACGGCGACGCGTACATGAGCAGCATATCCTTCCGCAGCCACGACGAAGGAGAGCGGCTGCTCAACCAACTGCGCAGGCAGGACCGCCCAGTAGCCCTGGCGGTCCTGGGGCCCAAAGACCCAGTCCACCCAGTAAGGTCGCCGTGCTGCGGCGTTCAGCGCTGCGGCCGCGAAGGCCCAGCCCGCCCACGTTGAGGGTACGATTTTCAGTTTGGATCCACCGATGTCGAATACCGCCAGAGCACCGCCCAGGTCACGCCCGGACCAGTCCTCAACACCATTTGTGCCCGAGGCACCCCTCACGAGACGGAGGCCGCCGATGCCCTCGACGCGCTCCAAGAGCCGTGCACAGAGCAGCTCTCGGGAGCTGCCCTCGCCGACGGGCTCGTGGCGGCGAAGGCTCAGGCCAGCAGTGGGCTGCCCGCAAGCGCCACAAGGCCAGCGCCAAACGCCACACCCAGGCGAGAGCTGAACGACGACTGCCTCGACGCGCGGAAGGGCATGTTTCCAGAACCAAAGTGTCGCCACCCCGCCAGCCGCACAGTCAGCTGGGCCGCCACGGCACGGCCTCTGGCAAACGTAAGCTCACGGCCGTCTTCGGCGTCTCGTCCGGCGACGCCGCCAATGCCCATGCCGTCGCAGGCGCAGGAGGGGGCCACCTATAACCCAGGCCATCGCGGCGCTCTCCACACGCTTGCCACAGCCACCCCCGCGTGCGTGGCCACTCGGTGCGAGCCGGGCGTCGAGATGGAGGGTGCCTTCGCCGCTCTCGCGGAGCGCGGCGCCTGCGGCGTCGCCAAAGGCACCCGCCGTGCCGTCGTGCGGGTGCTGAAGGCGCCTTCTCGTGCCCGAAGCGGCCGCCGCCGCCGCCGAGCTGCTCGGCGGCGCGAGGCCGCCGGCGCTCCGTCGAAGTGCCGCAGCAGTGGCCTGGGGAGCCGGCGTGCCACCCGAGCGCGGGTCGCGAGCGCCCTGGTGGTGTTCCGCTGGCCTTCGGAGGTCTCAAAAAAGAGTCCCCAGACTATGTTTGGATCATTTTTTATGTGCAAAAAAAACATCGTCGAGAATCCCCCAGTAGGGGGACAGGCCCGACTTAAGGCTGGGGCGAGCCCAGCTCCGGGCGCCTCGCCCTCGGTCTCCGGGCGGGCCCCCTCCGCCCAGCGCCATACGCGGTGAAGGCAGCGGGGCACAGCGCCCTCTGGGCGCCATCGCGGCGGTGGAGGCTCCCGCCGAGAGCCATGTGGTGCGGGAGGGAAAGAAAACCACACAGACACAATTAATCGTCGATTCCCCCCCAAATAGGGGAAGATATGGGAAGTGGGGGGGAAGACAAAAACACACAGAAAATATAGCAAAATATGGGGGATGCTTTTCCTTGTGTGTATTTATTTGTGTGGCCCAGGGCCCCTTCAGTGGTGCGGGACGGGAAAATGACCACAACCACTGCTTCTTGTTTGCGCCGCCTTCATGCCGGCCGAAAAAGAAGCAGCGGTTGTGGTCACCTCCCTGGTGCCAGGCTCGCCGAAAAGGACCACAACCACTGCTCTGTTTCTGCTGGCTGGCAGGCGGCAACACAAGGAAGGCAGTGGCTGTGGTCGTTTTCGCATCCCCTATGTGGGGCCGCTGCCGCGCTTGCCACGATCGCGACCCAAGGCAGGGCCCCCCAGACGCGACGAACGAACAACACACACCCATACCCATAGGGAGGTCGGAGGGAGAAGGACTGGCTATGGGTATGGGGGCGGGTTGTCGGACCCCTGGGAAGGCTCCCGCTCGAGCGGGGACCCCCACCCGACAGCACGCACCCATAGCTCATTCCGTCCCCCCTATGGCGTATTGGTGCGCGCTGATCGTTCGTCAAGACCGCCGCGCCCTCCGCCGCGCAGGCACCGCCCCAACCCGCCCCCCCTCGCAGAGGAAGGCGGCCCAGAGGGCTCGCGCGCAGGAGCGGCCCCCGCCACCGCCGCGGCGGGCCCGCCGGGGCGCGCTCTGCCGCTCGCGTCGGCCTCCACCCCCGCCAGTGGGCAGGTCGGGCTCGGCCTCCGTCGGCCGGGGCCTTCTCACGGGCCAGAGAGCCTCCGAGCGCCACGCAAGAGAGCCCCTGCGAGGCTTAAAGTGTTCAATGTCCTGTGGGAAAGCGTGCATTCTTGGCATGCGCGACGTGTTCGCTTCCCGACGCTCCACGGCGGCCCCCGAAGCACACAAGACCGCCCCGAGGCCGCCCAAGAGATCCCCAAGACGCCCTCAAGAGGCCCCGATGGGAGGCCCCAGATGGGCGGTCCACCGCAGAACATGGCCCAGTTCATGTCAGGAGGGAAAAAAAAACACAGACACAATTAATCGTCGACCCCAAGGAAAATATGCAAAAATATGGGAAGTGGGGGGGAAGACAAAAAAAAACCAAAAATATTGGAAAATATGGGGGATCTTTTTATTTGTGTGTATTTATTTGTGTGTCATGGGGCCCCTTCATCATCGAAGGCGAGGGCGCTGGGGCGATGGGCATGGATTGCGGCCTTGCCGACGACGGACGGGCCGATCACTGCCACGCGGGCCAGGGCATGGTCGCGCCCCTCGCGGCGGCTCCACAGTCAGGGCCACCCGCTCCACCTTTGGCAGCGCACGTGCCGGCTCGAGCAGGAGCACATCGAGCTCGTAAAAGTCCCTACCCAGGCCCTGCAGAGGCAGACGCAGGATCCCGCGAGGCGATGTCAGAGACCAGGTTCGCAGCAACAGCGCCAGGGTGTGTGGTGCCAGGTCCGTGAAGGGATCTGAGCGTTCGCTTCAGCGCTTGGCCGAAGACGCCGCGCGTCTGGCAACCTTGAGTGGCACAGAGTTTTCGCCCACGCTGACGCCGCCGAGTGATTTCACTCATCGCGAGCACGTTCGGAGGTCCTTCCACGAGGCTCAGTTCGTCATTGCCGGCCGCTCCGTGGGCATCTATGTGGTCGGAGGTCCTTCCTGCAAGGCTCTGCTCGCCATGGCCCGCCGCTCCGTCATGGGCGTGTTCCGCGTTTGGAGGTCCTTTTATCAAGGTTCTGCTCGTCGTCATCGCCGCTGCTACCCCCGGTACATCTTCTGAGGTGCGCTGCTCCCCGCATGGTCCAGTAGTAGATTTCTCGCCGCCGGCCGTCTTAGGCGCTCGCCGTCTTCAGGTAGTTTTTCGCCGGCGCCCCGTGGAGGCCCCCTGGAGCCCCCCACGATTGTGAAGCAGAAAAAACATGATCGACCCACGAACCCGGGAAGGAATATAGAAATGTAAGGCATGGCAACTGTTCAAAGACACTTGATTGGGCGACGGGCAAATGCAATGCAGAATGTATCGATCTTAATGTACTGTGCCAGGGGCTGTGCTGTGCTGCGCCGTGCTGAACTGCGATGTTCCATGCCGCGATTGTGCTCTACATAGCGTCGTGGATCGAGTCTTCCTTAACATCCGAGTCCTGACCGCATTGATCTGGATCTTAAGCTCGAGCTGACTGAGCAGATGGTAGCTGCCCCAGAACCAATCGACAGAGGGGACATGCCAGGAGGACGCGCCGCGGAACGTCCCAAGGGACGCGCCAAGCGACGTGCCAGGGGACGTGCCATGGGCACGCACCGCGTGACGTGCCAAGCGGACGCGCTACGGAACGTGCCA